GTGGGGCGCTGGGAGGACCAGCTTCCCATGCGGGAGGGGAGCGGGAGGAGGGGTAAGAAGAGTCGGGAGAATGGAAGGAAAATGGAAGCAAAGCTTTTGTAAGTGAGGATGGGGGAGTCGAGAGGAGGGGCGGGGAAGGGAAAAAAGAAGCAAGATAAACCACGCGGGTGCAGATTCCCTATGATGCGTATGATCATATGGGTATCTGAAATGTACCTATATAATTTTTAAAGATCCTGATTTATGACGTTCACTAATTTCCACGGTGTGAACAGAGTATCCAGGAAATCGAAACATTTCCAGGCGCCTGAGGATGTACCTCCACGATGACACCGTCTACGTGGCGCCAAGGATTCGGAAGCCCTGGCCTCTCTGTAAAGTGCTTGAGTACCCTCACGAGATGGTGATAATCTCAGATTACCTAATCTGACAGCCAGCCAGCAGAAACCTTTCTCTCTTCCTCTTTTTCCTTCTTTCCTCTTTCCCTCCCTTTGCTTTTCCTTAGGTTCTATCATTTGAAGAAAGGATTATCAGAGGATTGTGAATGTATTTTTTTTATTTTTTTATTTTTGTGGTGCCAGGGATTGAACTCAGGAACTTGTGCTTGCCAGGCAAGCACTTATCGCACTGAGCTATCTCCCTGGCCTGTGAATGTATTTTAAGACCTTTATATCACTGTAGTCCAAAGTATATAGAGCTGCAGGAGCAACCTTAAAAGATCACAGTTCTGATATTCTGGATCATGTCCCTGAAGACTTATCTTTGGGAACTGGGTGTGGTAGTGCATGCTTGTATTGGGATTCCAGCATCCTGGGAGGCTGAGGCGGGAGGATCAAGATGGAGCCCAGCCTGAGCAATTTAGAGACCCTATCTCAGGATAAAAAAAAATAGAAAGGGCTGAGGATGTGTGCAGCTGTGTGAGAAGGCTCTTGGTTTATTCCCTAGTATTACCACCTCCCCCCAAAAACTTTAAGATTTCTCTAGACTACACGGAGTACTGTCCGTGCAGCACAACAGTATGAAAGACCCTGAGCTACCTGGACACATTAGTACCTTCTTTGTACACACACAGACTCCTTGTAATTCTTCCGAACTGGATATTCGCTTAAGGAATTCTTAAGGATTCCCCATTTTTTTTCACTTAAAAAAAAAATACAATGGGGTAAGGGATATAGCTTAGCAGTACAAGTGCCTGCCCGCCAAGTGCAAGATCCCGAGTTTGATTTATCAAAAGTACGATAAGACAGGGCCTGGCTGTGCAGTTCAGAACGGCCTTGAGCTCATTTTGTAGCCCAGGTTGGACTGGAGCTCACATGGATCCTCTTGTCTCAGCCTCCTAAGTGTTGGGGTTGCAGGCGTGCGCCACCACACCCAACTAGAATACATTTCTACTAGTTCTCTGTCCATTAAAGTTTTACCTGCCCTTTAAAGGATCAGCTCAAATGCAAGTTCTCAAGGAAACTTCTCTCAAGAGCTCTACTTCTTTATTTATTTTGTCTTTTCGAGACAGGGTCTCACTATACAGTTCAGGCCAGTCTTGAGCTCACTTTGTAGCCCAGGCTGGTCTCAAACTCGCAAGGGTCCTCCTGTCTCAGCCTCCGACAGTGCTGAGGTTATCGCCGGCGTGTGCCATCACGCCCGGCTTTCTATCTTTTGTTTAAACTACTTAGGCTATCCTACGTATTTGTCTTTTCTTCTACAAGACTGTAAATCCTTTGCGGCACGAACAGCGCTGTGTTTGTTGTAACAAAATACAAGGTGCATTGCAAAGCTTTGCGCCCCTCTTTCCCAGAAAACCCCCTCCAGGGAGGCTGGCGCCTGCGCACTGCGACCCTCGCGCACGCGCCAGTGCAGTGACGTAGAAACTCCGCGCCACACAGCCGGCGCCTCCGCGGCAGTTTAGGCTGTTGGATTCCAGTATGGCCGAGCAGCCGCCACCCGCGAAGCCGGCGGACCAGGTGTGCACCTTCCTCTTCAAAAAGCCCAGGCGGAAAGGGGCAGCAGGCAGCCGAAAGCGCCGGGCGTGTGAGCCCGAACCCGGAGAAAGCAGCAGCAGCAGTGGTGACGAAGGCAGCACCGTGGTTCGACCCGAGAAGAAAAGAGCGACCCACAATCCGATGATTCAGAAGACCCGAGGCAGCGGTAAACTGAACGCGGCCTGCGGCTATCTGAGCAGCGAGGAAGAGGAGGAGGGCGAGAGTTTGGGCGTGGTGTACAAGTCCACCCGCTCGGCGAAACCAGTAGGGCCAGAGGATATGGGAGCGACCGCGGTCTACGAACTGGACACAGAGAAGGAGCGAGACGCACAGGCCATCTTTGAGCGCAGCCAGAAGATCCAAGAAGAGCTGAGGGGCAAGGAGGATGACAAGATCTATAGGGGAATCAATAATTACCAGAAATACATGAAGCCCAAGGATACGTCCATGGGCAACGCCTCCTCCGGGATGGTAAGGAAGGGCCCTATCCGAGCGCCCGAGCATCTACGCGCCACCGTGCGGTGGGATTACCAGCCCGACATCTGCAAGGACTACAAGGAGACAGGTTTCTGCGGCTTCGGAGACAGCTGCAAATTCCTCCACGACCGCTCAGATTACAAGCACGGGTGGCAGATTGAACGTGAGCTTGATGAGGGTCGCTATGGTGTCTGTGAGGACGAAAACTATGAAGTGGGGAGCGATGAGGAGGAAATACCGTTCAAGTGCTTCATCTGCCGTCAGACCTTTAAAAGCCCAGTTGTCACCAAGTGCAAGCATTATTTCTGCGAGAGCTGTGCGCTGCAGCATTTCCGCACCACCTCCCGCTGCTATGTCTGTGACCAGCAGACAAACGGGGTCTTCAATCCTGCTAAAGACTTGATTGCTAAGCTGGAGAAGCATCGAGCTATTTCAGAGAGTGGGGCTTCTGATATACCAGCAGACCCTGATAGGGTCTAATTCCCGTAACTTAGAGTTTCCTTTTTTTTTTTTTTTTTTTGTAAGGTTCTACAGGGCCTCACTCCGTAGATCCGGACGGACTGGTAGTGATCCACCTGTGTTCAGCCTCCCAAGAGCTGGGATTACAGCTGCGCGCTGCCACGCCCAGTCTCCATCGCCCTTGCAGCACACCCCAGGGCGGGCTGGTACAGTTTACCGGGGGTCGCAACCTGGCCGCTGTGTCTGCCTAAGCAGCCGCTTTAATCCACGGAGGTATTTGGCCGGCCCTTGGTTTTCCATCATTGTCGTGTCTCAAAATAAACATTTTGTTTTTCCTTTGGTATTAACAAAAACAACCACAACTGAAGTAATATGATGCTTTCTGGAAGTTGGTAAACCATGTGTTTTAGATAAAGGTGTTTCAGGTTGAATCAGTATACTTAACTTTTCAAAAACTCAAAGTAGGCATCCCATGTACACAGTACATATTGACTCGAAAATGCGTTGAAAACTAGTTGCTCCTGCTCTGTTGGGCCTGGGTGAGATTTTTCCTTTTTAAGGAAGTGTTGCCACCTAGTGGAGAAATAGATTCGAGACTGTGAAAGGGGTGCTTAATTCAGAAAGGCGAAAGTTCCTGCCTTATGGAAAAAGTAAAGGTGGTTCTGTAGGATCCCAAATGTGGAAGAAATAAGGAAGGTATGGGACTGGTGAATTTAAAATTTGAAGACATGCATCAAGACAGGAAGTTTGCTGTGTATATGTACAGTATAGACTTCATTGTGCAACTTGAAAAGATTCAAAAAGTATTCAGAGCATATGTTTTTAAAGTGTCTACTTGTTTTTGTGGGGGTGGAGTGGGGTGGGCTCCTTTTTGAGACAGTCTTGCTAAGGGAGCCCATGCTGGCCTGGAACTCAAGGTGACCGTTCTGCCTCAGACTCCTGAGAACTGGGATTACACCCGGGTGCCACTGTGCCTGGCTTCCTTCTGCTTGAATAACAGAATAAACATATTGGTAGGTTGCAGTTGTGCTCATTTTAGCAAATTAAGCCTAGCAGATAAATTGAAAATAACTCTAGCCCCACCAATTACACTACTTAGAGATGACCATTAATATTTTGGTGCATGGTCTTGTATGTAGGAAAATATTTATATTTAACCCCCCCTTTGGTCTTTTTTTTTTTTTTTTTTTTTGTGGAACCGGGGATTGAACTCAGGCTCTTGTGCTTGCCAGGGAACCCTTTGGTCTTTTTGAGACAAATTTTTACTATGCTGTTCAGGCAGGCCCTAACTCGCAGTGATCCTTTTGCCTCAGCCTTCTGAGTTTTAGGATTACAGGCATGCACTGTACCAACCTATAGAAATGTATTTTAGGGCTAGGGATATAGTTCAGTGACACAGCTCTTTACTGGCAAGCATGAAGTCCTGAGTTCAATTCCTGATATCTGCACAGTTTTTTTTTGAGATTTCGATATGCCACTCTTATAAAAGTTAAATCATGATATGCAAATTATTAGGCTGATTTTTGTCATCACTTTTTGGTATTTCTGTATAGAGTCTATAGGGTCTACAGGGTCTCACTAGTAGATGGAATTCGTAGTGATCTGCTAGTGTTCAGCCTCCCCAGAGCTGGAATTACGGGCGCGAACCAGCAGGCCCAGTGTCTGGCTCAGCACCCCTGTGGGCAAGGCTCAGCACGGACCGGCTAGCCTCTGCCTCTGTCGAAGCAGGTGCTTTAATCCGCTGAGCTATTTGGCCAGCCCTCATCATGTATTATTTAAATATTTTAATAACAATAGAAGGACATGTGCCTATAATCAGCACTCTGGAGGCTGAGGCAGGAGGATCACCTAAAGTTCGAGGGTAGCCTAGACTATATAGAGAACTCAAGGCCAGCCTGAACTGCATAGTAAGACTGTCTCAAAAAAAATTTTTTTTCTACAGAATCATTTCTATAACTGCGTGGAATTTCACTTGGTGGATATCATTCTTTTTTGTTGACATTTTTTTTCTCTAATTTTTCACTATTATAAAGTGTGATGAACATCTCCGAAATGAAGTTTTCTGTCCTTTATTCTTACAGTAGGGCTGGGGAGATAGCTCAACAGTGTAAGCACTTGCCTGGCAAGTGCAGGCACCCGGGTTTGAACCCTGGTACCACATGCCTCACTGTGCTGACCACCGAAAGTGGGTGTGGTGACGTATTCCTATAATCCCAGCACTAGGAAGGCTGAGACAGGAGCATCACTATGAGTCCAAGCTGCATTGTACCAAGTAAATATTTAAGAAATTAAAAATTCTTAGGATAACTTCTTGGAAGTGTCATAGTTAGGTTAAAGAATGTGAGTCTGGTCTCAGCTACTGGGGAGGTGGGGCTGGAGGATCACGAAAATTCAGGTTCTCGCACTCTGCTGGCTGGGTATCCACACTGGTGGCATCACATGACTGTCACCTGGCTTGGGGACCACTAGGCTGCTGATCAGTAGTGGGATGACACTGTGAATAGTTTCCACACTGCAGCCTGGGCAGAACAGTGAGTTCCCATTCCCCCCTCGATCGTCAGGGGCTAGGGAGATAGCTCGGTAGAGTAAGCACTTGCCTGGTGTTATGGTTTGTGTCTAGGTGTCCCCCAAAGCCTCATGCGGTCTTGGGGTGGCTTCTGGAGTTTGTGATTGATTGTTGGTGGTGTGGCTGCTGCCCCTGCCCTGGGGCAGGTAATTTGCATTACAATGTAAGGTGGGAAGAGCAGCCAGCTGCTGGAGCTGCTGCTACCTCTCCCTGTGCGCTTGCTCTTTGCTGCCGCCCTGAAAGGTTGCCCTCTGCTGTGTGCCGCTCTGCCTTGGAGCCAGCGGAGCGTGGACTGAGGACTCCAGTAACTGTGAGCTAAAGAAACCTTTCCTTCCTTCATTTTGGGTGTCGGGTATTTGTCCCAGCAACGAGAGAAGAGTAACTAAGACACCTGGCAAGCACAAGGGCCTGAGTTCATTCCCTGCCAAAAAAAGATCAGCAGCTACTTTTCTTTATAGGCAGGGTCTCCCTATGCAGTTCAGGCTGGCCTTCAGCACATGTATGTAACCCAGGCTGGCCTCCAACTCAGTAATCCTGCCTCAGTCTCCCAAGTGCTAGGAGCACAGGAGTATGCCACCATGCCCAGCTCATAAGCTCTTAAAGGAGCTATGCAGTGCTTAGTTATATTCTGAAAGATTAATTTAGAGTTTTGGAGGAATCTAGTGGCATATGAAAAGTCCATTTATTTCCTCACAACAATGTGGAAAATGTTTCCTTAAATTCATATGTTCACTTTATATTAGAAATGATATTAACTAACCTATATAGTAATTAACCCATATATTAATGATTACTATGCTAAGTAAGCACTTTATAATCCCTGCTTTATCGCTATCAGGTGGATACTACCTGATACATTTTTAACCTGGTACCGATTAGGGTTCATCCTGCTGGGCACAGTGGCTCCCATTTGCAATCTCAGCTACTGGTGAGGCTGAAGCAGCAGCGCTGCAAGTTTGAGACCAGCACAAACAATTTAGTGAGACTTGGCTGGGAATGTAGCTCATTGCTTCCGGGATTTAATCTCAAAGGGAAAGGGGTCCCTCTGTGGGAATAATGCAAAATGTTTCTTAGGAAGAAATATTAGAAATATATTAGGAAGAAATTTTTAAAAATAAGAACTACTAATGAGCAACATGGTGTATTGAGATGTGAATTAATGATATTTCTATCAGCATGTTTTTTTCAGAAGGGATTTTTATATTAAGTGGGATAATTGTATAGTTTGATTGTAATGTCCCTTGCAATTCTCAAACTTTGTGATTCTGTCACTCCACAGTTAAAATGAAGGTATTGAAATGAAAATATGATTATGAAAAACCTTGTCCGAAGCCTTGAGAACTGTTTATTATGAAAGTGCTTAAAACTCAATGCTGATCTGGTAAATCTTCCAAAGATTGAGAGAAATAGGGTGCTTAGAAGTGGGGCCTCTGAATTTTCATGTGTATTTAGGAATAGAAAGTAATGTATAACAGAAAATGTTTCTTTATTCAGTAGTTTCTAGGAATATACTCCAATGAGTCCTATTTCTCATTGACCATTCTTTTTTTTTTAATTTTAGCTGAAAGAAAATTTAAGAGTGACCGAGAAGAAACATCAGGAAACTCTTAGAAGAATAGAAAGCAGATTTTTTGAAGAAAAGGTACAGAATATTAGTGTTAATAAGAAACTATTTTAGTAATTAGAACAATATTAAAATTTATACATATTCTGACATATGGACTTTCCATCTAAGATTTTGTTAGATTTTTATTCAGTAAGAACAAAACTTGGAGAACAAAAGGTTTGTTTTAGAAATTTCAGTGTCTGTTGGTGTGGTGGCACATGTCTGTAATCTCAGCATTCAGGAGGCTGAGGCAGGAGGATTGCCACCATTTGAAGCCAACCTGAACTTACATAGTGAGTTCAAGGCCAGCCTGAACTACATACCAAGACCCTTTCTCAAAATACCAAAAAAAAAAAAAAAAAAAAAGAAGAAAAACTGTGGGAAAGTGAGTATTTTGGTTTTTTAACCACCAGTTGGTGCTGGAAAGAAAACCGTGGAGTAGGTGTGAAGTGTTGGCTCCGTGCACAGCACTGACCGCCGTGCCCTGTTGGCAGGGCTTCCCGGCTTCTCTCTGGGTAGGTGGAGCGAGGACTGCTGCTCCGTGGCAGGGGGTGTCCAGTAGGCTCTCGTTCGCGCCACACCTTGTGCTGCACTTGGTCTCATGCGTGTTTCCCCAGGTTCTAGATGCTTGCTTTTGTTTTTGTTTTTTCCTTTCTGTGCCTTGAACCACAAAGTGCTGTCTTACCATCTCATTTTTATACTTGCTAGTGTCTGTTCCTGGGATGTCTTGTTCTTGCTCCTTCTCATTTTTCAGAGCTCAAATGCCATTTTCTCAGACATTTCCTAAACTTCAACCTAAAATGTCACCCAGTTATTACCCATCTAGTTACCTCATTTATTAATTTATAGCACTTATCACAGCCTATCGGCTCTATTACTCATTTGTGTCCGTGTGTCTCAGTTACTTTTCACTTGTTCCTGGGACAAAATACTGGACACCCAAAATTAAGGAAGGGAAAGGTTTATTTAAACACCACTGCACTCCGACCAGCCAAAGGAAAGGTTTATTTAGCTCACAGTTTGTGGAGGTTTCAGTCCATACTCAGCTGGCTCCAGGCAGAGTGGCACATGGCAGACAGCAGCTGTTCGTGGCAGCAGAAATCAGAGGAGAGCAAAGGGAAGGGCAGCAGCTGCGGCTCCTAGCCGGCCCCTCTCCCCTCCTTACGTTATAAACAAGCTCCCGTGGGCCGGGGGTGTAGAGCTCACACAGTGTCCCTGCCCTCCTCTTGCACAGGATGAGGGTGTTCACAAAGTGAGAATCCTGGCTCTCTGCTGAGTCACTTGGTTAAAGCTCTGAACTTCTCAAGTTGACGCAACATCAGGTTGCCTGTGTATTAGCTTACTAGCTCTGTGAGTGTCGCGGGCCACTGACCTCCCTTTTGCTTGGTCCTTGTTTTTGGGAATAGTAACAGTGTCTGGTTCCTAGGGTTGTCATGAGAAATAAATAATGCATGTTGAGCTCTCAGATAGTAAGTGCTCAGATGTCGTAATTACTGACTAGCATTGGGTCGGTCCTGCTCTAGAACATGAACTTCATGAGGTAAGGACCTCGCCTGTTTTGTTTACAGAATCGCTGGTGTCAGGAACAACCCGGTGCAGTAATAGTGTTCAGCTATGGTGAAATGAGTGCTTCATCACATTGCATTTGGCAGGAATTTCTTCCAGCTCTGCTTTCTAATATGGATGCGGCTTCCCACTCCCATCCCATGTATGTGTCCTATTGTAGCTTAACCCAAGGTTCTTGAGTTTGCACTCTTTCTTGCTGGCTCCTTGCCCAGTACTTGGAATTCTTCACATCAGGCCCTGTGAACAGTACTACTTTATTTGACATTCTGAAATAATCATTTTTCTTTTATGGTGATGCTGGGCTCAAACTCCGGGTGTTCTGCATGTAAGAAAAACATTCTGTCGTTGAGCTTCTTCTCCATCCTGAAACAGTTGCTTTCTATTATGCAAAATTCATAAGTATAACCCTGTGTTTAAACAGCCTGGCTTCTTCTTCTTCTTTTTCTTTTAGCACCGGCTAGAACAAGAGGCTGAAAGGAAGGTCGTATTGCTAGCAGAGAGAGCCCACCATGAAGCCGTGGTGTAAGAGACTCTCCTTTCTGTGGTAGCCTGCCTTCTTTCTTCGCTGTTGTGGTTTCTTCCTAGCCTTCATCGTCCCCTTGCCTCCTCTCCTGGTTCGCTTCTGTGAATGTCTGTGCTGCTTTCCCTGCGTCCCTACCTCTGCCCTTTACTTTTCTATAGCAGCTGTGGTGAAAAGAACCCTCGCTTGAAAGCAGGGCCCTGGCTCAACATGGAGCTGAGCACTGTAACATTTCTTAACTTTTTTGAAATTACAGTGTGTGGTCAAAATACATGGAATGTTTATATTTCAAATAATTATAACAGTAAAAGATATGTTGCCACAAATGCTCCTCAGAATTATCCCATTTGCATCAAACAAACACATCTATCACATCATTCTTTTTTTTTTTTTAGTGTGTGTGTGTGTGTGTGTGTGTGTGTGTGTGTGTCCAGCTCAGTCCACCAGGGGGCGCGGCGGGCTGGCATGTGGTGCTGGGGATTGAACCGCGGTCCCTGTGTTTTGCTAAGCTTGTTCTAAGTAGGTGCTTTAGACCACTGAGCCATCTCACCAGCCCCTATCATATCATTCTTGCCATTTTTCTGAAGCAGTTTTTTTTTGTACTGAGAATCGAACTCAGAATCTTTTTGTTTGTTTGTTTTTTCCATAAATTTATTGAGAAACAAATAGCAATGAGACAGTTTCAAACCAAACTGGTAGGACAGTTTCAATAATTAACACATTGTATACATTCTTCATAGTGGTTAATTGCTATACAAGATGCAGACATGATATCCTACTTACAAACACCATTAGAACAAATCCCTCTGTTCATTAAGAGAATGTAATTGTATATCGATCCTAGCCATTTGAATACACAGACACAAAATGGACATTCATCTGCATCCCCTTTTTGTTGTTAAGTTCCGTTATTTGAATATTATAGGTGTGTAAACTCAGCAAAATATTCTAAAAGAGTCCAGTAGCCCATAATAGTATTGGGTCTTCTGCTTGACTGGCAATGTCAGAAATTGTTGACCTGAGTCCGCTACAGCTCAACATAACAGCATGGCTTTACTTCTTGTATTTCGTTTTTATACTTTTCTGCTGGATGGTTAAGACCAAGGTAAAGCAGGACCTATGCAACAAGAGTTGTAGCTTTTGGGTCTGATAAGGTCAGTGAAATCCCCTCAGGATTTATCCTGAGATCCTGTACCTCAGATTGTAGAACCTTTGTCAGTGTCAGCCATGTGGATGAGTCACAGCCATTGCTTGGCCAGTGTGCTCTCTGTGAAAGCCTGAGAGAATGTTTTCTCTCCATGTGACTCTCCTTAGGCACACTCTACATCATCGATCACTTTCCTCTTTGGCCCCATAATCTTCTTGATCAGAAAATTTGGGACACTACTGAGGTACATGACGTTACAGTACAAGTTCTCATATGTCCTGAGTCTTAATTGACCTTAGAAGGCTAGAGCCAAAATGTTGGCTTTCCTTGCAGGCCTCCTTTTTCTCTAATTTTGGTCTGCAAACTTAGGTTGTTACCCATCCAGAAGACAAGCTTATTGTTATTACGAACTCAGGATCTTGTGTTTGCCAGGCAAGTGCTGTGCCATTGAAGTATATTCCTGGCCCCTGAAGCAGTTGTATTTTATTTTTTGTATTTTTAGGGAAGGGCCTGCAGGGTGTTCAGTAGTGATCCACCAGTTTACAGCCTCCCAAGAACTGGGATTACAGGCTTGCTCCACCACGCCTAGTCTCAATTGCTATCTCGGTGTGCCCCCCAGGAGCGGGGCCGGCATGCAGACCCCATGATCTAATCCCTGGCCCCTGCGCCTGCTTGAGGTACTTTAATCCACTGAGCTATTTGGCTGGCCCTCGAAGCAATTTTTTATTTTATTTTTTATTTTTGCATTTAGTGCAGGGGATACAGGATCTACAGGGTCTCACTACTAGATCGGATTCCTAGTGATCCCTCTGTGTTCAGTCTCCCAGGAGCTGGGATTATAGGCACGCGCCACCACGCCCAGCCTCAATTCTAGTCTCAGTGCGCCCCAGTGGCGGGGCTGGCATGGCACGCTGGGGATCAGGGATGGAACCAAGCCAGTGGAACCACTGCGCTCTGCCTAAGCAGGCCCTTTAGTCTGCTAAGCTATCAGGCCGGCCCAAAAATTTGAGAAAGATCTTTTTTTTTTTTTTTTTGCTGGCTCAGGCTGCCTAAAGAGCGGGTCTCGTGTGGCATGTCGAGCTGGGGATCGAACCACGGTGCCCTGAGCCTGACTGAGTTTGCCCAAACCCTGCTGAGTTTGCTCAGCTCTGCTTTAAACAACGGAGCTAATCTGCAAGCCTCCGCCCCCTCCCCGAAGCAGTTTTAAAAATCTTTTTTATGAGTGTCTTACAAGGCATGATCGAAAACATGGTGAATGGTGCTCCCTAGTATCATGACCGGGAGGGCAAGCTCACGGGAGCATCACAGTGTGTCCCCATCCACCTTGTTCCCCAGGCCTAGCTCACTGAGTGACCTCCGGGTCTTCCCCAAAGTCTAAATGGCCGTCAAAGGTAGATATTTTCAGTGACTCCAGACATGACGACAACAGTGATGGTGTAACTAAACATACTTACAGAAAGGGAGCCAGGCTACTGTGGCTTTCCCACAAGCCCGTGCTGTGCTTCTGAGTTCTCTTTGTTCTCCCCTCTGTTTGTATTTACATGGTCCAGGCTCGCTGTAGAGCTGGCTTCCCTCCTGCTCTTCACTTTGACTTTGTTGAATGAACTGTGCCACTGCTTTTTAGGTTTTGTTTTTTTTTTTTTTTTTGGTACAGGGTCTCACTACACAGCTTGGACTCATAGTGATCCTCCTGTCCCAGCCTCCCCAGCTCTGGGGTTACAGGCATGCACTACCACGCCCAGTTTCAATGGCTGGCTCTGCACAGGGCCTACATGGCATGTGGTACTGGGGATCGAACCCAGGCCCTTGCACTTTCCAGGGAGGCACCCTAGACCGCTGAGCTATCTCTCTGGCCCTGCCACTACTTTAAAAAAACAACAACAAAAAAAAGAGGATGCCAGGCTGCTTCAGAAAGTATCAAGAATGATGGGACATGGGTGTATGGAACAAGAGGGAATATTTTAAGGGGGATTAATGCCAGTGTGTCTTGCACTATTATGAAAATAAAGCACTGTGTCTTTTGGTCATACCCATAAATTTCTTCATCTAAGAATGGGGCTAATATTAGTAAACTTGCAGGATTGCCCTAAAGGGTATTTGCAGAGGAAGTACTAGGTGCATTATGTTAACAGATTAGCTCTCAGATCTCAATGGCTTGTTTCTTGCTCATCCTACAATCCACTGTGGGTGTGGGATCTCTTTGCTGGTGCTGATTCGGGAAGCTGAGCTGCTTCCTTCTGGTGCCTCTGCCATGCTGCATTCCTAGGGCGTCTTGAGGTTCAGCTGTGTGGACAGGAGAAAGCATGGGCAACTTGTGTCTGGAAGTGATACTGTAGGGTGAGAACTTCGTCACAAGATCCCCTCCTACCTGTTGAGTACCTACCATAATGTAAATGAGCGGTGGCTTTGTGAATGCGCGCACGTGTGTGTGCATGTGCACATGTGCAAGGCTTGAGTCCGGGGTCTTGCGTGTGGGCGGCAAGCTCTACGTTTGGAGCTACATCCCCAGCCCTGTGATGGATAGTATTAATACTAGAGGGTCAGGGGCCGGGGAGATGGCTCAGTGGAATAAGCACTTCCCTGGCAAGTGCAGAGGTCTGAGTTCAATCCCCGGTTCTGCCAAAAAAATTTAAAAAAATACTAGAGGGTCAGACAGTCAGTATTTTCATTTGATAATATCAAAAAATAGGCCTATATTTTAGGATTTTCTGTCTATTTCAGGCAGTTGAATGCTGTTGGAAGAAATGTTTTTAAAGAGAATGTTTATCTCCAGAAGTCTCTTGCATATCACCTTAAGGAAGTTGATACTCTACGAAAAAACTCTGAGAATTTGAAAGAGAGTCATACCAGCCTGTCACATCAGAAGGTTCTCACTCTCAGACTGTTGTTTTTTTTTTTAAGGATTGGGTTGGTGAAAGCTAATAATTGTACAATAGTGATATATAATGAGTACAATAATGATGTATAAGGAGAATAGGACCATTTTTCTTTTGTCTTGATGGTGCACTTTCCTTATCTGAAAAAATTAATACTGAATGGCTGAAAGAAGCTTAGAATTGACTTTATACAGAATATATCAGAAAGCTCGAAATGGTGGCATGTCCCGTAATCCCAGTGCTTGAGAGGCTGAGGCAGGACCACTAGGAGTTTGAGGCCAGCCTGGACTACATTGTGAGTTCAAGGTAGCCTGAGCCACATAGCGAGACTCTGTCTGAAACAAAAAATAAATAAAAGCCAAAAGAATATATTAGAAATAAAAATATGATTCTTATCCTCTAATACCATAGAATATTCATTTTACTTTGCTTATAGTTGGTCCATGAGTCACTTAGGGATAGGTTTGACTGAGGGTAACAGACCTAATGTTAGTGGTGTCACCCCATCAGAGTGTACTCCTTTACCTAATGGTGTACTGGAGAGAGCAATCCACAGCAAGATGATAGTTCTCCAAAATCAGCGCTTCCTTTATTCTGCTGTACAGATTATGGTTTGTTTCATCAAAGTCGCCTCATAGTTAAAGGGGCTGCCAAGCTCTGTTCACTGTTTATCGGAAGGAAAGACAAGAACTCTCAGGTGTACCTCACCTTGAAGCATCCCAGAAGTCCTCCTCATACTTCCAAGTACAACTTACTGACCAGCACTCGACTATGCTGAGCCTTTAAGAGAGGCTGAGAACTTTTCAGCTTACTGCTCAGCAAAATTGAGGCTTTATTACTAAGCAATAAAGGAAAAAGCAGAGTGGATACTGAGAAAGACCACTAGAAGACCACCATATATAGCTCTCTACGTATTCTCTATATAGCTGTTACTATTTTAGCTTAGTTTTATTATAAAATATTTAAACATTCTGAATCTTAGAGGAGGTTGAAAATTTCATAATTAGCCAAATTGGCGGATTGCCTTCACAAGTCCAGACTTTCTATGCGTGGAAGTACCAAAATGATCACCTCATTCTGGCATCAAACTTAAATCTCATGAAGTCATAGAAATTATGGAGATGCTTGCAGGTTCTAGGATGATTGCAGGTTGCTAGGACAAAGAAGCCACCTTTACCTCTCTTACCTCTTTGTAGGAGATCAATGATCTACTGATCAAGGAGAAGATTATGCAGCTAACCCAGCAAAGAGCACAAATTCACCTCCTTCAGAAGAAGGTAGTCAGCTTGGAGAATGCTCTGAGTTTCATGACCAGAGAGTTTGAGACTGAAGTTTTGAAAGTGAAGCAAGAGGCAACAATAGAAAACCAAGCAGGTCAGGTAGAAATTGACAAGCTGCAGCAGCTTCTTCAGATGAAGGACAGGGAAATGAACCGAGTGAAGAAGCTGGCCAAGAACATACTGGACGAGAGAACGGAGGTGGAAAGTTTCTTTTTAGAAGCCCTGCATGATGTGAAGCAGCAGATCCTGACCAGCAGGAAACATTACAAGCAGATAGCACAAGCTGCTTTCAACTTAAAAATGAGAATGGCGTGTGCGGGAAAAACACAGTACCCCCAGATCAGGACATTTGGTGGCAGAGAGCACAGCACCAACAGTGTGAATCAGGATCTTCTGGAGGCTGAAAAGTGGTATGGATAACACTTCGATATTTTGTCTTTTGTGCTACTTTTGTGCCCCTTAAAGAAATAGGACCTCAGAAAAGTCTGGTTTGTTAATATTCAAATGTCGTTGAACAGGTATCTTAGTAAGTTACCTGAGGATGAGAACTGATGGGTACATCTTTGTAACCCTGTTTAGCAGACTGCATGGTTCAGTCTGTGTTCTTAGTAGATGTCCCCTTTTTTCTCGTGAAAGAAATTTGTTAGAAACTACATTATTTGTCTCATGGAATGTCACTGTGATATCTTTGGACTTGTTTCTTTATCTTCTTCTGCTACTTCTGCTTCTTTCTTCCTTCTT